CTTTGGGATAGTTGAACTCAACTATCTTACAACTGTCTCTAGAGAATATTACCTGCTGACTGCTTTCATGTGAAAATTATGATACCTCCCTATGATTATCTTACCTCAAATGGGCATTCAACTGGGCTTTCCACTCACCCCTTAGCTGATAAGATTATCAGAGACAAAACAGATATCCTTCAAAGACAAAACAGATATCCTTGCAAGAGAACTCTATCTTTCTACTCTCAGATCTATAGGCCTCCCTACACCTGAACGGTCTAGTTACAGTGAAGATGTCCCGTCAAAAGCCATTCTCTCTACTCCTTCACTTGCAGTCTCTCTCACCAGGAATGATATCCTCTTTCAGCTCCATTAATCTGTCTTTCTGTTAGATATACTCAGTCATTCAACAAATATTTATTGAGCATCTACAATGTACCAGTGCTAATCTAGCTGAATAAGACAAAGTCCCTGTGTTCATGAAGTGTATGGACTAGTAAGAAAAGCAAACAAAGAAATAAACAAATACATATATATTTCAAGTCCATAATGAAAATTAAAGAGTAGTACATGTGAAATTGGGGGTGGGGTGAATAGGGATAGAGGTGGTACATAAAATAAAGTGATCAAGACAGACTTAAGATCTGAATGAAATGAGACAGCAGATCATAGCAATATCTAGAAGCATTTTAAACAAAGGGAGCAGTAAGTATAATTGTCCTAGATACGAATATTTGGGGCAGAAAGGGCAGCAAGACAAAAGTTGAGTGAACAAGGAGAAATGCGGTAGGAGACTGAGACTGATAGCCAGAGATGATAGCCAGAGGTCAGATTATGCAGGACTTTACAGGCCACAGTAAGAAATTTGGATTTTGTAGCAAGTGTGAGAAGACACTAAAGAGTTCTGAGCAGTGATCTCAGGGGAACAAATGAAAAGCAGAGAGACCATTAAGAAGTTATAACAATAATCCAAGTAGGAATTGATGGTGGCTTGAAAGAATGGCAGTGGGTAGAAAGTAGTATTGCAAAGGTAGATATATTTTGAAGGTAAAGCCAACTGGCTTATTTAGAGACTAGATGTACAGTGTAAGAAAAAAAAAGGAAAAATCAAGCTTTTCTCTAAATTTTTGGCCTGACCTGAGAACAATGACCTTTCAAAAGGAGACACACACACACACACACACACACACACACACACACACACGCCCCTTTCTTGACACCCACATCCTCCAAACACCATTTATTTTCTTCCCCTTTATAGCAAAGCTTCTCAAAAGAACTGTCTGCTTACACCATCTCCACTTCCTCCCCTTCTGTGTTCCAACTCACACTACTATTTTACCAAAGGTAGTTTTGCCAAAATTACTGTTCATCTCCACGTTGCCAGATCAAATGGTCACTATTCAATCTCTAAGCAGTATTCAACATTCTCTTTCAAATGCTCTACCTCCTTGGCTTTTGAGGAAGCACATTCACCTGCCTTTCCTTCTATCTGTCTATTCTTAGTCCCTTTGCAGACTCTTCCTTCACTATGTTCAAGGCTAAGAACCTCCATTCGTCATACACTACACTATCCCCCAAATAATCTCATCCATTTCCATGGCTTTACGTATCATCTATATGTTGATGATGCCCAAGTTTCTCTCTCTACCTCAAAAGCTCTCTTTTAGACTAATAACCATCTGTTAGACAACTCCGCCTGCATTTCTCATAAGTATCTTAAATCTAACATGAACAAATGAAACTCTTGCTTTTCACAGCATGTCATAAATTTTAATTATATTTGCTTACTTATTATAAATCTCCCTCAATAAACAGCAAGCTTGACAAAGGAGCAACTAAGTATGTTGTACTTACCAATGTACACCTAGCAAATAAGGCTTAGCAAGAGTAGACATGAAAATTCACTAGACCCTGTGTCTGCTCTCAAAATATTCACATACTAATGGGAGAGGCAGATACCTGACCACAATGATAGTACAACATGGTAAGTAGCATTGAGTGGTGAGAAGCACATGAGTGCTACATAAATGCAAAAGAGGGGCCTTTAACAGCCTAGGAGTCAGGGAAGACTTTCTTAAGAAGGTGACTTCAGAGTTTATTTTTGCAAGATAAAAATAAGTACAGCTATTAAGTGCCTACTATATATTTTTTTCTCTTTTATAGAATTATTTTTTAGCTGTATTATAAACTCTTCAAGGTGGGTATAAATATCTTCTATTTTATATATGAAGCTTAGAAAGATTAAAAACCAGGTAGGTAATAAATGGTGGAACCAGAATTTGAATTGAGGTCAGTCTGCTTTTAAATCTTCCCCTTTCTTTTGGGTGTATTTATAGATATATAACAAGATGTCACTAAAAACAATATCTTTTATACTTGCCACCTAATATTTGTTTGACTCTAAACAAATCACTATACCTCTTAACCTCAGTTTTCAGCATGGGACTCCATTACCAGTCTCTAAATCCTTCTCTCTAGGCCTCTCCTTTTCCTTTATTATTAAGGACTGAAGCTCAGTTTTAAACTAGTCAGTGAGCAACCCTGGGTATTTCAAGCTGTAGGATCTGAGCATTTTTCATGTTTCATTCAGAAACAACCACATTAACATCTATACAGAACTTTACAGTTTAAAAGCAGTTTTATACATTCATCATTTCATTTGATCTTCAGCACCCTTTATGAGCTGTTAAACCCCTATTTTACAGAGGCCAATGGAAGTAAAATGTCTAGCTTCATCTGGTCTCTAAACTCTACCACCTGCCAGAAATTAAATTTAAGAAAATGGAGAAAGGGGTGGCAGAAGCAGAGGAAGAGAGCAAATGACTCATAGAGGGAGCTCGGCATCAAGTCACCTAAGTGGCCTAGAGCCAGGAGAAGTTAACAGAGACCAAGCTGTTTCCCTTCCAAGGTAATGAGTGTTTGGCCATGGCACAGTGACCTACCATATAGAAGTGTTCTTTTCCCTTCTCAGCAGTATCTAGAATCTAAGGCTAAAGGTAGGCAGAAAACAGAATATAAGAAAACTTTTTGTACACTTTATGTACACACAGGTCCAGAAGATAACATGGTATAAGAGGATAGATAGCACCTTTAAAGAAGCCTTGTGTTTAGAACCCAGCTCTGCCACTGACTTGATGAATTAAAAGTTCCCTCTGATGAACCAAAAATTATCACAGCCCCTTGTGCTTCTCTTATATCACATATTTACATCACGTATCATACGAGGTTCTTCTGCCCCAGAACTCCTCCTTTTCTCTTCCTCCACCTCATCCCTGCTATCCCTCTTTGTCCCTAGGCTCACAGGTCTACCTCTCTTCCTCCAGGTCAGCAATGCTTCAGAGCTGCCAAAAACTCTTCCTCTCCCAGTCATTCATCTTGCTAGAATGTGTGCTTCTGCCCAGCCCTGCTGGATGCTTGCTCTCCTCCCACTCTAGTCTTCAAGCAAGCCCGCCGCTTTCCATCTTGGTTACTTCCTACTGTCTGTTGCTACCCATTGCCCTCCAGGAAAGAGGTAGGGAACACATCCAGGAAGAAAAATTGCTTATTGGCAGGCCCAAGGCAAGGCACAGAGGCAGTAAGGAGAGAGACTGGCACTAGGGAAGATAGAATTTGTAGGTAAAAGCCGAAAACAATGGAGTAAGGTAGAAAACAGAGAGTGTTTGGACCTCATAAAAACCAGAGCAAAGATCTCCACAGACCAGGAACCCACTAATATTGAGACAGCTAACCAGAATTTCTAAGAGGAAGATAAGAAACCCTAACCAAGAGAAATATCCAAGAGAGGGAAAGAAAAATTAGGAGATCAGGGATAAGAAAGGGAAAGCATGAGGGGAGCAAGATGAAGGGAGAAAGTGGGGGTGGGAGAAAAGGTAGGAGGCAGGACAGGAAAAATAATCAGGAGAAGGAAATAGAAAAGTGGAGAGAGGAAGACGAGGAGGTGGAGTCATAGAAAAACTGGGGGGAGGAAGGAGATACAAAATAATCAAGGTAGGTTTGTTACAGGCCTGACATGTATGTCTTGGTTTCAGATAATCAAGAAGGAAAGATTATAGTGATTAAGATATACAGCCCCAAGGTCTGTCATTAATATGGTGGGAAAAGGAGGGGGCTCCAGAGAAGACAGACTAGTTTAAAGCAGCTTTACACCCAAGTATCAAAAAATTGGCCAGTTCAGAGAAAAACATACTTTGACCTGCTTCTTCCCCATCTCACCTCCCTACATTACGCTCAACACTAACACCTACACTCAACACTAAATTAATTAGTATTTTCAATCTCTGCCTTGCCCATGAGTCACTAGGTCCTGAGCAGACCAGCAAGATGCCATCCAAAAGGCTGGATGGAAGACAAGATACCAAGGTCTGCTTCCTAAGTTCACCTGTCTCTTACAGTGCTGAGGGGGTCATCTCTGAAGCCCAACTGAAGGACTTTAAAGCAGCAGCTCACCTTTCCAAAAGGCAGTTTGACAGCTTGGGAAAGCCAGAGTTACAAACAGAATGTCAAGCCCTTCACTGCACAGATAAGAAAACTGAGACCCACAGAGGTTGCCTGACTAGAACCAGTCCCCCGCCCCTCAACCAGGTCTCCTATCTCCCAGTTTACTCCATCTCTTGACATAACAGGTCACTTATAACATAATGCTCTTCCCCAGCATCCAAGAGAAAAGCCCCCAATAGGCTAACAGCTAAGCCAAAGCAGAGAAAAAAAAAGCATCACCCTAGCTACCACACAGAAGGGTGCTTGCAAAGGAACACAGCTCCTGAAGCAAAGCGGTTCCCCCAAACCCAGCTTCCCCTTCACACCCCTCCCTAACCTGAGTCTGATTCTAGTGCTGGCCTAAGCCTAGGCGGGCTCATCAGAGGGGGTTCCACCCTCAGCCCTTCTCTCATTTAGGGTCTCTTACGGAAAGAGACCCTAAATCTACCGGACCCTGCGTCACCACTGCCCGGAAGCCAGCAGTGACCACCCCCCTCCCCAGCACCACCCAGGCACACACCAGGCTGGGCCGGCAATACCTGGTGGGGAGAGCTGGCCCCAGCATCTCTGGCCACTGTTTTTGTCGCAGAGCCGCACCACTCCTCCTGGCCTGGCCACGCAAAGCCCTGGCTCCACCCGTGCCTCTCTACTGGGCTGAAGCAGGGCTCCCAGCAGCTCAGCCGCCCCAGCTCCCGGTGCAGCACGCTCCCGCCCTCGCAGGGCGCAGTGAAGGCGCTGCTTCGTGGTTGGCGAAGCAGAAGGGGCGGGGGAAGAAGGGAGGGAAGGAGGCGGGAGGAAGCCGTGCTTCTCCTTTCCGCGAAAAGCACTAAGGGCGGGGAGACGACTACCTTCCCTCCTTCTTAGCTGTTCTCCCCAAACTAGTCTCCAGCTGGAGGTAATTTCTCATTGAGACCAGGCATTCCAGGGCCTCTTAGAAGTCCCCGGTGAGCCCCAGAGTCAAGGAAGAGAACCAGAGCTCTTCTGTGCTTTAGTTTCTGCAGCTGGGTCTGGACTCCAGGACAACTGAGGTCAAAACCAGGATCCATCAGATTAGGCTTCAAAACAGAGAGATGCACCCAGCTCCTAATTCCCCACAAAGATATCAGTTTCTAATTCTAATGCCTTAGAGAAAACAATGGGTGGGGGCTTATACCTATTCTAAGCAAAGAAGGCTCTACAGCAGGTACCATTAAAGTGCTGTTGTGTACCAGGTACTTTAAAAAATGTCTATTTCACCACAACCTTAGGAATATAGGTAGGCACTCTACCGCATATGTGAAAACTGAGATCTAGAAGAATATGGTTTTATACATTAAATATTTCTTAAACATCTTCTAGATCAGGCATTGTAATGAGTCCTGAGCTAAACAACACATTATAGGACATTTACCAACCCTGGCCCAGACCCCCTAAATGCCAGTAATGCCCTTGATAACTGAAACGATAAAAAAACAACTTTACACATTTCCAAACGCTCTCTAGGAGGTAATACTACCTTGCCAATTCACCCTCTGTGTCCTGCTCTTGAGAGAGATGGCAGGAGTCAGATTATGCAAGGTCTCTTCCAAATCCTAACTAGGAGTTTGGATTTTGTTCTAAATTTTAGCAACAGGAAGGTTTTGGAAGGTTTTATGCATGATGACAAGATCAAATTTACATTTTTACAAGATCACTGAATATTGAATGGAGAATAGAAGGGAGAGTGATGGAAACAAGAAAATAAGTTAGTAGAGTTGTTCAGGCAAGAGAAGATGGTAATAATTTAGATTAATATATTGGAAGATGAGATGAAAAAAAACAAGCATACTCTAAAAATACAGCTTAGAAGAAGCAGTAAAACTTGCTGGCAGACAGAATATAATGGGTGAGAGAGGGCAGTGACCACACAGCTGGTAAATGGCCAAGTTGTCCCAACTCTGGTCTGACTCCTAAGCCTATGCTTTCTTCCTCTCTACCATGTTAGTCAACTTTGTATCAACTGCCATATCCCTCTCCCTACTGCCTGGCAAAGAGCAGGTAATTAGCCTTATGCCTGATCCATGATATAAGTGTGCTAGAGAAAAATTTTATGGTATTAATCCATTTTCCCTGATATGTGTCTACACCTCCATTCAATGTGCTCATATTAATCTAACTGCAGAAGAGTGTAGGGGAAGAACTCCATGAGGACAGAAAGAGCTCTTCTATTAAGTATCTTTCACCTTTCCTAGACCATGACTGCTTGTGGGATTCTAACTACTAGAAGTCCCCAATTAGGTGAAAGAGACAGGGAACTTCTTGAAGACACCCACATTAGAGACAGACTGGAGGGTCTGCTGCACTATGAGAACTCAGACTCAAAGTAGTTTTTCAATGTTCTTTTGAACCTACACCCTTGTCCTTCATCTCAATTTATACAAGGTGAATGAGAGCCAGAAACAGTCCTCTGTCTTAAGACATAGTTTTTCAAACTAATGATCAATAATCACAGCATCTGATCTTATCCAACTTCCCACCCCATGTAGCATCCTCTTATAGATGGCTTTCCAAGCCCTGATGTAATATATGCAGGAACAGAGAGCTCACTTACAATTATCACTATGAGATAGTGCTTCCTAATATTCAGCCAGGTGCCTCCGAAACTTCCAATTCTGCCTCCCAGAGCACTCAGAAAACATCCTTCAGGGCATGTCATATTAAAGGCTTTCAGATATGTATGTATGGTGATCTATTAAGCCCCTTGTACTTTTTCTCTTCTGCAGGATAAATACCCTCAGTTGGTTTAACCATTTGTTCATTCAACAACTAAGCATCTTGTACAAGCTACCCCTTCAAGGAGTTGATGGTCTTGTTCTGGAGGTTTTCAAGTCTCCTTGTGCATCACAATTATCTGGGAAGGTTTAAAAATATACTGAAATCTTACCAGAGATTTTGACTCAACTGGTCATAGATATCAGAGGACTAACACTACTCCACCCAAGACTTACTATAAAGTTGCAGTAATCAAAACAGTGTGGTATTGGTGAAAGAATAGACAAATAAATCAATGAAACAGAACAGAGAGCCTGAAATAGATATACACAAATACCATTAACTGATCTTTGACAAAGGAGGAAAGGAAATTCAATGGAGAAAGAATAGTCTTTTCAATAAATGGTGCTAGAAAACAGACATCCACATGCAAAAAAATTAATCTAGACACAGATTTTACACTTTTCACAAAAATTAACTCAAATTGTATTACAGGCCTAAATGTAAAAGGCATAACTATAAAATGTCTAGAAGATAACATAGGAGAAAACTGAGTTGACCTTAGATTTGGCAATGACTTTTAACATACAACACCAAAATCACAATCCATCAAAGAAAAAGTTGATAAGTTAGATTAAATTAAAAGTTAAAACTTTTGTTCTAGAAAAGATACTGCTGTTAGGAGAATGAAAAGTCACAGACTTGAGAAAATATTGGCAAAACACATTTCTGAAAAAGGACTTGTATCTTATATGTACAAAGAACTCTTAAAATTCAACAAAAAAAAACTCGATTGAAAAGTGTACCAAAAAAATCTCAATAGGCACCTCCTCAAAGAAAATACAGAGATCGTAAATAAGCATATGGAAAGACAATCAACATCATATGTCATTAGGGACTTGCAAATTAAAACAAAAATAAGATACTACTACATTCCTTTTAGAATGGCTAAAATCCAAAGCATTGATAATACCAAATGCAGGCGAGGATGTGGAACAATTAGAATTCTCATTCACTGCTGATGGGAATGCAAAATCTTACAGCCACTTTGAGAGAGAGCTTGGCAATTTCTTACAAAGCTAAATACAGGTTTACCATGTAATTCAGCAATTGCACTCCCACGTACACAAAAACCTGTCTATAAATATTTGTTGCATCCTTATTCACAACTGCCAAAATTCAGAAGCAACCAAGATATCCTTTGATAGATGAATAAACAAATATCCATACAATGGATGTATTCTAACACCAATAAAAAGAAATGAACTATCAAGCCACGAAAAGCCATGGAAAAACCCTAAATGTATACTGCTAATAAAAAAAAAAGCTAGCCTGAAAAGGCTAATTCCAACTATATGATATTCTGGAAAAGGCAAAAACTATAGAAAGGACAAAAAGATTAGTGGTTGCCAGAGGTTCAAAAGAGAATTGGGGGTAGGGATGAATAGATGGAACGCAAGGCATTTTTAAGGCAGTGAAAGTATTTTGCATGATATTATAATGGTGGATACATAATGTTATGCATTCACCAAACCCATAAACCTATAAAACACAAAGAGTGAACTGTAATACAAACTATAGACTTTAGTTAATAATAATGTATCAATATTGGTTCATCAATTATATCACACTAATGCAAGATGTTGATAACAGAGGAAGTGCAGGGGCTAGGAGGGTGGAGAGAGAGTATATGGGAGCTCTTATTTCTGGTCAATTTTTCTGTAAACCTAAAATTGCTCTAAAAATAAAGTCCATTAAAATAAAAAAATTTAAGGTATCAAACAAAAAAATAGACATACAAGATAAAGCTTGTTTTCTTTTTGATTAGATTCATAAGACTTCAGAAATTACTCTGTCAAATTGCTGTAAAAAGTTTTAAACAGTCTCAATTTCTATGCTTACCTCACTGTGGATTAGGAATAGTTCAGACTCTACTTTGAATACTGGTGATCTAGTGCATCTTCCACTAAACATAGTCCTGTTTGAAATCGCCCTCTTACTGCCTGGTACCCCAAGGAGGACATGATACTCTAAGTGCAGTCTGTCCCCTAAAGAACTTAGTTGGACTATCACCTACTTAACTATACTTGGTGCTTCCAATAATTCAGTCTGAAGCTGCTTTAGCTTTTTAGCCACTGCAATGCCTTTATCTGACATTGAGTTTAAGCAGCCAAAATCACTATTTTCATAAGAATAGCATCCTGCTAGATCGCCTCCAGCCTGCCCATATGTTGCCATTTCTTTGAGACTTAAAATGAGAACTTCATTGTCACCCTCCTTAAATTTCATCTTGTTGGCTTCAAGCCATCTTTTCAAGCTCTCTCTGCAGTTTTAGCTTCTAGTCACCTGCAAACCTAATAAACATGCTATCTCTTCAAACACTTATTAAACACCTATCATGTGTCCTTGCCTCTACTAGGTTTCAGGGATTGAAGATGACCTAGGAATGCCCCATATCTCCAGGAATCATCATTAATAAGGAAAGTAGGACATATATAAACTATAAAAAGTACTGTGCTAGGAAACTGAACAAAATAAACAGGATAGGGTAGAAAAAACAATGAAACATTTATCATAAAATATAAGGCAGGGCTGTTAATGTCTTCAACAGGAAAGATCAAATTCAGATTCCATTTTAGATTTCAATTCTCAAATACCAGATGCTGGTTTGGGTTATAGAAGGCTGACTAGCTGGCTCACACACTGACTCTTTCAATGGTGGATGCTGCTATAAGAAGCTTAGCTAAGCTTGGCTCCCTCTGATAGAACAAAACTCATGAAATTGAAGCATACTGGTAAGCAGCCAGCAATTTCACTTATTATTGAGAGTTAAAAGCTTATAATCAAGAAAGAAACTATCAGCTAAAGAAATGATAAAGAAGAATCAAATGAGGTAGAAGGGACTTTACAGGCGAAACTGTACTTTCAAAGAAATTAAATCCTAGCGATAACAAATGACTTGTCCATGTTAACACAAGTTAGCAATTAACTTGTTTTAAG